TTTACTCCTCAAATGTCATTGGAGTATTTACATCCCAGACTCTCCTCTTGCCTCCACCTCACGCCAGGATAAACTGAGAAGAGAAACAAACAAAACAACATAAAGCACCCCAACCATAAAAAAATCAAATAAGGGCCTTCCCGGTGGCGCAGCGGTTGAGCGCTGGGTTGCGAAGCTGCCCGCGGCCTCTGCAGCGCCGGTTCGATCCCCGGCTGCTCCCCGACCACCGGAGGAGGGTCCCATATGGCGCGCAGACCTCTCCTGCCGCCCGCTGCTCCCCTCAGCAGTGTACTTCGGTCCTTCTGCCTGCTCTGCTCCCCGCTCTGGCTCTGGTGAATTCTCTCACCCTCCCGCGCTTCTGACTGTACCCAGTGCTTGTATAAAAAAAAATAATAAATAATAAATAAATAAATAAATCTTTAAAAAAAATTAAAAAAAAATTCAGATAAACAACAAATAATACTTTAAAAAAAAATCAAATAAGACAACACACATCCTTACGAAACAAGAAACATCTGAACACAAGGTAGAAAAGCAAAATGAGAACAAAACTACTGGGACAAATATAAAGACACAGAAGTAGAGGACCTATCAAAGACTTCAAAACAACAATATTAAAAATGTTAAATGAGGACCTCTCTGTTGGCACAGGCTGTTGAGCACAGTGCTGTGAAGCTGTCCGCAGCCTCTGCAATGTGGGTTCGATCCCGGCCGGCCATGGAGATACCCACATGGTGTGGCAGACCTCTCCTGTCTCACCCGCTGCTCCCTTCAGCAGTGTATTTCAGTCAGCCTGCCTGTTCTGTTCCCCATTCTGTCTCTGGTAAATTCTCTCACCTTCCCGTACATCTGGCCTGTCCCCTGGTTCTTGTAGGTATAAATAAATAAATCTAAAAAAAAAGTTAAATGAACTAGTGGAAAGTTAGGCAGATAGGCAGTTGCAAGATCTTAGACAGGAGCTCTATGAACAAAGAGAGTGCTTAGCCAGAGAGACTGAAAATATTAAAAGAACACAAAGAGAGACTGAGTGAAATGAAGACAAATGTAGAAAGTGCTTTAAATAGAATTAAACTGGCAAAAGAAAGAATTTCAAAAGACTCAAATGTAAAAATCACCCAATTAGAAAGAGAGAAATAAGGCATAGGAAAAATAAGTAAACTCTATGAGAAATATCAGAGTTATCCAGAAAAGGAAACATAAGGACAATGGGTATTCAGAGACAATAACAAAAACAAAGAGAAACCCCACCGACTGGGAGAACATTTTTGCACACAACACTAATGATAAAGGACTGATCACAAAAATCTACAAAGAGCTGATGAGACTCAGCAAAAACAAAGAAAATAATCCAGTCAAAAAATGGGCAGAAGAGCTAAAAAGAAACTTCTCTGAAGAGGAAATGCAAATGGCCAACAGGCATATGAAAAAATGTTCAACATCACTTGTAATCAGGGAAATGCAAATCAAAACTACCATGAGATACCATCTTACACCAGTGAGAATGGCACATATTAAAAAAACTAGCAACAACAAATGTTGGCGAGGTTGTGGAGAAAAAGGAACTCTCCTGCACTGTTGGTGGGAGTGCAAACTGGTCCAACCACTATGGAGAGCTGTGTGGAGATTTCTGGACCTACTAAAGATAGAGCTTCCATATGATCCAGCAATTCCACTCCTAGGTATTTACCCAAATGACACAGAAACATCAATTCCAAAGAGCACCTGCACCCCTATGTTTATAGCAGCACTATTTACAATAGCTAAGCTTTGGAAACAACCCAAATGCCCCAAAATAGATGACTGGATCAAGAAGATGTGGTACATATACACCATGGAATACTACTCAGCAATCAAAAAAGATAAACACATGCAGTTTGCAGCAACATGGATGGAGCTAGAAGGATCATTCTCAGCTACATAAGTCAGAAAGAAAAAGAAAAATACCGGATGGTCTCACTCATAGCAGGAATTTAGAAAACCTAAATAAGAGACCAGGAAAAAGACTAATCAATGCAAAGTAATAATAAAAATCAGCAAGCAACTATAAACCAGAGACACACTACGAGGCGGGTGGGGGATTAAGGAAGGGCGGGGAGAGGAAGAACTAGAGTCAAAATAAGGGGGGGGTGCAATTGTATGGGGAATATAACCAAAATGAAAATGCATACATTGTACAAAGATGAAAAATGATGTAAGAATTATATAAAATAAAATATTAAAAGAAAAAAAAAGAAAAAAATTCTACAGGAAACAAGGAAAAAAGGAATTTACAAAGGCAATCAAATTAGGCTTTCCTTGGATTTCTCCCCAGATGTTCTTCACGCAAAAAGAGTGGAGAGAAGTGTTCACAATCCAAAAAGACAAGAATGGCCACCAAGGGGAAAGTTATCCTGCAAAATTATCTTTCCGGTACGAAGGTGAAATAAAGGCTTTCCAGACAAACAGAAGCTAATCAAATTTATAACCATCAGACCTGCCCTACAAGAAATGTTGAAAAAAGTTCTACAAGAAAAAAATGAAACAGAAAACCCTTCATCAAATGACAATAGGAATACAAAACCAGAAGCATGAGCAAGAATATTATTGTCAGTCAACAGAAAAGGGAAGGAAGACATGGGCAGAACCTGTATATTGGAGAGCAAACACACTAGCTCATTAAATACTTATTAAAGCGTAGTAGGTCAGGCAAAACCCCTATGGTAACCATTAAACAAAAGTCCAGAATAAAGGCTCACAGACGAAGAAACAAATTGATAGAATCATTAGGGAAAGCCTTCCACAAAAAGAAGAGACAATGGGTATTCTAGAAGGTGAGAAACAGATGGAAAAAGAAACAACCGAAATACAAAACACTCAGAAACCAAAATAATAAGTAGCATGTGTCAGTAATCACCCTAAATGCGCATGACCTGAACTCACCAAGTAATTAAGAGGCACAGAATGACAAAGTATGTAAAAAGTTTTAGCCATCTATACTTTGTATACAAGAGACCCATTTAAAATGGAAAGCAACAGTGATAGGGAGCAATGCATGGGAGGTGTGGCCTTGGCTCCAAGGATGCCAGGCATTCCCCGGGGAGGGGGCAGCAGCGTGAGCCCTGGGTCAGTTGTACTAGTTGAGTTAAAAGTGTGTATGGACATTGGGTGTGGAGAACGTAGAAAGCAACTACACCATCTCTGTTTTGTTTCTTACTTCAAAAGCAACTTTTATAAAACACCACCATATCAGGTTCCAAAGTTTTCCTTCTGTACCTTATTTGATTTTCCAAAATCTTTTGGCACAATTGCATTAATAATTAATAAGCCTAACCAGTTTTGCAATCCTTGTTCCATACTTAAGCATATTTTTTGAAGGATATTTGTAGATTTGATCAGCTAGCATTTCCCTAATTAGGTCTTTTGCATCTAGCTTCACAAGTGAGATTGATCATTAATTATTGCTTTTTCTCATGTTGTCCTTCCCCATGTTTATTGCCATATCATAAAAGCATTATAGGAATAGAGTTCATTGCTTGGTGAGATTGTGAATGAATGCTTCTTATCTCTGACTTGAGATGATAGATTCTACACTTGTGCTATCCAAAAAATGTGGTATCCAGACACATGTAGCTGTACACATTTAAACAAATTGAAATTAAATAAAATTTAAAACTCAGTTCCTCAACCACACTAGCTGCATTTCAAGTGTTCAGTAGCCACATATGCTGGTATCTTCTACAGCAGACAGCATGGGTTCTAAACATCTTCATCTCAGCACAAAGTCCTGCTCAGTAGCCCAGATGGATTGGTAGGGGGATGGAATAGGGCTGCACTTTCCTGAATTTCATTGGGTCAGAAGGAAGGAGGAAATTGGCCATTGTCCAAATCCATTACTGCCCTGAAATGAACGTGATGCTTTGTTAGAATGGAGAACGAAAATTTCCATCCCACAGCACCTTAGGCCCAACGAGTGGAATTAGAGTAAACTTGTGGTATGCAAACTTGCTCTTGAAATGCACTTAATATATGCCTTGAATGCTTAATTGCCTATTCTATGTCACTCGGACCATAGTGGTGAAAAAAGTAGACACAACTCTTTGTTCGTGAAGATTACGGTTTAGCAGAGGAGAGGCAGACAGGGTGCAACCATGCCTGTGTGTGGATGAGAGAAGTATAAATTCTGTAAAGGAGATTAGGATAAACAGAGACAAAATTGTGGGATAGGACTGTTATCCTGCCCAGGTGGTCTGGAAGACCTCTCAGACAAGGTGAAATTGGAGCAGAGAATTGAATGATGTGAGAGAGCTAGCTATGTGGGTATCTGGGACAACACTTCCAGGCAAGGGAACAGTGAGCGCAAGTGCTCTGAGGCAGGAGGTTGCTTGGGTTTGAAGAGCACACAGAGGCCAGTGTGGGTTGCTGTGCAGGGTGAATACTGGGGAGAATGACAGGAGGCAGGCCCAGAGGTGCCAAGAGGCTTGACTTTAGCAGAGCTGCCATAATGTATGGTCTATTCAAAGTAAAATCAAAGTCACTGGGTTGTTTTGTGCAGAGGAGTGACCTGTTATGATTGAGACCGTAGTGGTAAAAGGCAGAAGCAGGGAGATGAGTTCCACAGCCATTGCAGCAGTTGAGGCAAGAGGTACTAATGGCATGGGAAAATGGAAGTGGTGGTGATCAGAATCCACATGCAGAAACAATATAGGATTTCAGGTCAATGTCCTTAATAAGTACGCCAGTGATCCTGATGGTGATGGCAATATGGGGCCTAGCAAGAAATAAATTCAATACCCCAAGTTTCTGGGCCCCATGTCACCAGTGCCGGAGAGGAGGGGTGTCTGAGACTCAGGCTTGGAGGACCTGAACTGTGAGCTGTGGGTCATGAACGAAGGATGGAGTTCTTGGTTCACTGGTTAATGTTTGGTCCTTTGGTAGATGTGAAAGACTTGGGTCCTCCATGATGACTGAGTGGGATGCTGAGCAGCAGCTATTCTGAGAATTTCCACCTTGTTTTGCACCAGGTTTGTGGAGATGAACAATTCAACCATACCCAAGCTCTTGGAACTTGCAGCCCACAGCCTGCTGAGCAGGGAGGCTATGCCTGCCTTGGAAGAGTTCACTGTCGACCTCTTCCCACCATTGCTCACTGCTGCATTTTCCAAGGGTCACAAGAAGGCCCTGAAGGAGCTGGTGCAGGCCTGGCCTTTCCCTTTTCTCCGTCTGGGCTCCCTGATAGTGCGGTGGCCCAACCAAGACAGCTTGCAAGCAGTGCTGGATGGGCTGGAGGCCCTCCCTGCCAATAGGACTTGTCCCAGGTAAGGAGGATGCTGGGACCAAGGCATTGGAAGAGTCAGAGGGAGAGAAAGCTGGGATGGAGAGAGAGCATTAAAATCATCTGAGGCTCTGAGTAGGGAATCTCTGGGTTCTGGGTGAAGTAATTGATGATACAACTGAAGGGCATTAGGGCTTTTTCCTTCTCGGGGCTGTGGTGAGGAATGGGGAGGGAAAGATGCCCCAGCAAGAAGGGAAAAGATTGCTAGGGAGGGGATGATGAGTGGGCTGGGGCTGCAACTGCGGGCCAAGGATCAGGTTCCCCAGTAACCGAGGGCTACTGCTGCTGCTCCTATCACAGGTTCTGTTGGGCTCCCAGGCTCCAGCATCTCATCACACTCCTTTCATCCCCACAGGAAGTCAGAACTGAGGGTGTTGGATTTGACTCTGGATTTTGAGCAAGTCCAGGGGAAAGGTGCCTCAGAGGCCTTGGCCAAGTTCCCTTTTTGGTTACCATCGACTGTCAAGGCAGAGATCCCCCAGGCCACAGCCAGGCCCAAGCCAACAGAGAACGCAAAAAAAGGCCTAAGGCAGCCATGGGAGCCAGTGAAATTACATATTGATCTTTTCTTACGAGGTCCCTTCAAATTAGATACGTTCCTTTCTGGCCTCCTGAATAGAGTGGAACGGAGCTGTGGGTCCCTGCATCTCTGCTGTAGGAAGTTGCATATCGAAGAAATGCCTTTTAACAGCCTGATAGGAATCCTGAAAACTCTGGACCTGAATTTCATCCAGGAACTGGAGGTGTTTGACTGGTTTCGGGCACTATCAGAGCAGAGCCTGTTTGCCACTCAGCTGGGAAGGATGTGCAACCTGCAGAGCCTCAAGCTGGCCTACTACCACTGGGCCTTCTCCCCAGATGGTGAGCAGTCCTCCAGCTACTTCCTCTCCCAGCTCAGCAAGTTGGCCCACCTCCAGAAGCTCCACCTATCCTACTCCTACCTCTCAGGCAATCTACATCAAGTGCTCAGGTGAATTGGTTGGCAGGGTTATCCAAAGAATTCCCATATGCCACTAAGAAAAATCAGAACAGGGAGCAAGACAGGAAGTGGGGCCCATTCTTACCCACTCCTGGAGTCATGGGTGCAACAGTGTGGAGACCTGTGCCTCAGTGCGCTGATGGCTGGGCTCTGCTTTGGAAGCCAGAGAACTGATGGGGAAACATGCCTGCATTTATCTACTCAGCAGTCTTTGTGCCATTGCTGAGGGCTAGTGCTAGACTGGGCCTGGGTAAAGAGCCAGAGACAACACATATCAGATCTTTCCTGGAGCTAGTATTGCCTCAGAGAGGAGGGCTCCACAGAACACTGTGAGAGGGAATATTTTCATCTCTGCACGCCCCCTAGAAATTTCTCAGTGGGGGCATTGTGCACACTGGGCCCAACTTACCCAAATCCAAACCCAAACCCAAGTAATAACAGGCTCATCCTATGAATTCCTTATCATCAAATAAGCTCTTTCCAAAGAGCTCCTTTCAGCAGTCCTATCAGGCATGGATAGTGTGGGTCTACATTCCAACAAAGAGAAACTTGGAGCTGGAGGGCTTAGGAGAGGACCTAGTAGGCGGGTGTTTTGAGCCAGAGGACAGAGCCACAGAGCCAATGAGGAGCTGGCCGTGGGACTAGCCTCCTGGTGGCAGACAGTGGTCCCGGGCAGCGTGCCTGAGTCCTCCCTGAGAGGTGTGCCTTCTCTCCTCAGCTGCTTGCAGTCACCCCTGCAGACCCTGGAGATCCGCTCCTGTACTCTTCTGGACACAGACATCACCTACTTGTCCCAGAGCCCTCATGCCACTTGCCTGAAGAAGCTGGATCTGAGTGGCAACAACCTGTCCCATGTGGTCCCTGGGCCCTTAGAGACCCTCTTGCAGGAGGTCTCGGGGACACTGCAGCACCTGGACCTGAACCACTGCCGGCTGAAGGACGGCCATCTCAGTGCCATTCTGCCGGCCCTGTGCCGCTGCTCCCACCTCAGCTCCCTGGGCCTCTCCGACAATCCTGTCTCCAGGGCCGGGCTGATGACCCTGCTGGAACACACAACAGGGCTAATGGAACTGAAGCGAGTTCTCTACCCAATCCCTGTTGAGTGCTGTGTGTACCTGCAAGGCCTCTCCTGGGGCCCTGTCAACAAAGGGAAGTTGTGCCAGGTACAGGCTGAGCTACAGAAAGTGCTACAGGCTGTGCAGCGGGCTGACATGCAATGGAGCCCCCCACTGCCCTCACCCTTGCCTGTGAGGCTGGTGCAGCTCGACTGAGGGCCAGGCAAAAGGCCCAGAAAACTGTGGTCAGAGAGGGCATAGCTGGGGCCCCAGACTTCCTGTTAGGCCCCTGTTATTGGAAAGGAACATAAAGGAAACTTCCATGGAAACTGCCTCGTGTCTTTTTCTCTTCTGCTTTAAAGCTGTTTAAACCTGTGACCTGGTTCCGGTGACCATTGAGTACATACACAGAGGCTGTACTGTTAGTGTTTGGGTAGCAGTGGAGGTACTAGGGATGAAAAGACACAGGAGGTGCTTCCCTCCTTGGAACTCCTTACTCAGCTCACTCTTTCAACTATTCATTCTGTTTCTCTCTCTTGTCTTTTGTTTCTGCATAGAATGAAATTGGGCCTTAGCTGACTGCCCCAACATCAGTTCCTCCCCTGTACACTAGGAGTCACACAGCAGCCCAGGGCATTGTTGGGAGCTGGAATAAAGCACACGCATACTTGGCACTCAATCCAGAAACATCCAGTGAGTTACCCTTCATGGTGTGTCTGCTGGGTACCAGATGCCACTATCCTCAGATGGGTACTCAGAAGAACCAAGACAGCTTCCACTGAGAACAGGGATACAACCTCTCAGGGAGTCTTACAGCAGGGCAGAGTCAGAGAGGAACCAAGAACCAGCTCTTCAGGCTGGTCACAGGAGGTGGCGCTAAATTATAGGAGACATTGAGCTGAGCCTGGAATCTGGAAAGAGATCTAGAGACAGGGATCCTGAAAAAGACATGGCAGGTGCTCTGGCTGAACTTCCTGCTCTTGCCTGGAATCGGCTGAGGCTGGGGTCTTGACATGAGGTCAGAGGTGTGCAGGCCCTAGCATCATGCGGGCAGAATGTAATCTAAGTTGATGCAGATGGGGACTCGAAGAGATGGGAGTTCATGATTGACTTTGACGTGCACAGGAGGTGCACAGGAGGAAAGACCTGGATCGAATTGACACACAGGTCCCCGTGGGAGAGATTATAGGGCAGATGGTGGGCTACACAGTCTAGCCCCTGCTTAGCTGGGAAGGAATGAACCTTCAGTCTATTCTGCTGACCTGCTTGTTACTTTCCGTTTGCACGTCCCTCGCTGAAGTTCCTTCATAGGCATTCTGCCACCACCCATGCAACCCCTGGAGCCAAAGATGGATAGTAAGGAAGCCACTTGCAGTGGAGAGTGACCTGTGTGTTTGTGCTTCATCTGCCCAGGCCAAGGGGCTGCATCCTGTTCCCTTATCCTCAGCTGCCTTTAACCCAGCAGATTCCTCATGTGCCAAGAGAGGGATCCTGCTTGGGACACAAGAGCAGTAGTCCTGTGTTCCAGGATCTCTTCACAGGTGGAGAGCCATCTCAGAAACCTTGCCTCATCTCCTAAAACCTACCAGTGGTGTTGCTTTTCACATTATCCATTTATTCAAGAGCCTATCAGGTGATGGGTATTAGAAACAACAGCAAACATCAAGTTCCTCCCTGGGAATATACAGACTTTCAATGAGTGGCATGATTACAGGCTGAGGGAGTGGGGTTTGGTCTGGTGATTCTAAAGGTACTATTTGAGACAGTCTCAAGCATGATCTGTTTGGGCAGAGAGGTTAGATGTGGGTGACAACCTGTCCTGCCTGGCTGCCTGGCCATTTGAGCACAGACCTGAATGGGAGCAAATCCTCTGGGCTGAGCAGCAGAAAAGTGCTGGTGGAAGGATAGAAACAGACTCGGGGCTTGGCGCACAATTGTGCTACGCTGGAAATTCAAATGCTTCCCCAAATCTTGACTAGAGACAACAGCCCATGCAATTTGCCCATCTCTGACTGGGGCCATGCCCACAGATACTCACAGCTGATTAATGTGTTGTTACTAGAGGTGAAATTCTTTACCTCCCGCCAGTCCTTTCTGGTGATGTGTCTTTTCAACACTGCGTCAAGCACCGGTGATCCCCATAGGCTGCTGTTACCTGGGGCTTCCTTCCCTCCCTCTCCTGCCCAGTCACTTTCTCTTTGCCTTAGCCAGCATTGCTATTTACCAAGATACTGGAATTGCCTGCTTCCAGAAGAACCTGTATCAAATTTTCCCAAGACTGTAAGACTGTCCTGCTGCAGAAGGTCACTTGTGAGATGGTTGAAGTTTCTTCACAGTTCAAGGTGAGGAACAAACCTAACAGCAGGGTAAGGCAAGCGGGGTGCGACATGTATGATCTCTTATTGTCTCAGTGTCTTCATCTATGGAATTTAAGAAGTTTAAACTCATAAACAGACCAATAAAAATAAAATAAAAGTAAAAATTAAAACAAATAAAAATTAAAAGGCAGACTTTGAAGTTGGAAAAAAAAAGTTTGAACTCACGAAATTTATTGTGTAACCAGTGACTGAAGCCAAAGACTTATAGGTGGCACCCCGTGGAGGGGTGGTGCTGGTGAGGATAGATAGCCCCACGGAAAATGCAAACAAAGTATCACATTTTGGGTGGAGATTCTGATAAGAAATATAAGGGACTGCAGAAGCAGCCCCCTGCATTCCTTGTTTGGGATTTAGCATTTGAACATTCAGCATTCAGGATTATTGAATTTTCGGTTCTTCAGCAATTCCAAGGTTAATGATTTCTCCCCCCACCATGATGATCTTCCAAAAGGCTGTTGTGTACCTCTGAAAAATGTGAAGAGACTTCCAGAAGCCAACCTCAGAGAGGAAAAGTTTGGAGGCTTTGCAAGTAGCCAAGAGACTGAAACTGTTTTCAGTTTTCCTGCTGTTAAAGCCTGAGTGGGAAGGTGAAGTGGGGTGCCTTGCTGAGCTGCATGAGTGTGGCCATTTGTCGGGTCATTTGGCCACTGCAGCTTCTATTTTGAGTGTCGATTATCTGGTGCTGTGCACATCTCAGCAGCTCTGGTGAGTATCTCCTGTTGTGTCTTCTGTTGTCTTCATAAGTTGGAACCTGGCCTATATTCTGGCTGCCACATGTTCCAGGTCCTTTACATTTAGAGTTAATATTGACATGCTGGTGTCTGTATTTGCCATTTTGTTTGTCTTTTTTGTGATTTTATTCCTTGCCTTATTCAGTTCTTCTTATTCATTCCTCTGTTGGTTTTGGCTTTAGGACTTGTGGATTTTTGGAGTGGGGGTTTAGTTGTAATGAATTTCTGGAGTTTCTGTTTATCTGAGGAGGTCCTTATTTTTTCTTCATAGAGGAAATAGAGCTTTGCAGGGTATAGTATTCTTGGTTGGCATTTGTTTTCTTGGAGTTTGTTAAATATGTCACTCTATTCTTTTCTTGCCTATAGTATTTCTTCAGAAAATCTGAGAAACCTGATGTCAGCCTGATTGGTTTTCCTTTATAGGTTATCTGTTTCTTCCCCCTTGTCAGCTTCATTATTTTTATCTCATCTTGGACTCTTGAAAACTTTACTATTATGTGTCTTGCTGTAGTTTTCCTTTCATTGTGGTAATTTGATGTTCTTCTTGCTTCTTGTATGTCTATTTTTATCTCCTTCTTCATGTTTGGGAGTTCTCTTCAAGTATCTCCTTTAATAGTTTCTTGGTTCCTTGGTCTCTCTCCTCACCTTCTGGGATTCCTATAACTCTTATATTTCCTTTCCTCATGGAGTCAGATAATTCTTGAAGTGTTTCTTCATTCTCTTTCCTTTTCTTTATTGGTTCTTTTTATTTCTGTATATTCAAAAGTATTGATTCATTCTTCCATTTCATTGATTCTGTTTTCATTGATTTTCCCAAAGTTTTTTAGTTCCTCCTTTTAATCTTTTAATCTCCTGTGTTTCTTTCATTTCCTTCTTTAGGGACTCAATTTCATTCTTCAGTTCATTAATTATTTGTCTCATATCATTCTTTTCCTTTTTATCTTCTTTATGTTTTTTAATCATGATGATTTAAATTCTCTATTTGTCAGGCAAAGAAGTTCTTCTATGTCATTGTTGTTGAGTTCTGGTTGCTGATTTTCTTTTTGTGGTGTGTCCTTCCCCTGAGTGCTTGCTTGGTTATTTGTGTTTTTTTCTTCTCCCTGTTTGTTTTTTCTAATTTGTTCTATGCATGGGAATACTGTGTTGCTGGTACTGGTGGGTATCTCTTTGAGCCGCTCCTTCTGGGATTTGGGGACCAGTGGCCAGACCGAGTGCAGCACTCTTCTGCCAAAACTCCCCAACAGCAGTGATGCTATAGATATATTAATGGGCGCTGTCCCTGAAGATCGCCTACCTCTGTATTTGCTCAGTAACAAAGGGGAATCGTGGGGTCCCTGGCTTTGTTTGCAGAGCCCCCTCTCTCTCTCAGTTCCAGAGAGAAGTCTTGCAACTCCCCGCCTTGCAACAATGGTGCAGGGACTGTGTTCACTCCTGGTGCCCAATGTTCCCCCTGTTGAGGGATCCCGCCCAACTCTCCTCAGTTTCAAATCACTGGTGGGCGTGGGGCCTTGCTCCACATGTGCTTCAAAAACAGATTTGAGAAAAAACTACAAGTTTAGAAGATAGGCAAAACAACAACAAAGATACAACACATATATAATAGAAGATCCTGAAAAGGAAAACCAAAACAAGGGAGTACTGTTATATGGCACAAAGGAAACTTGGATACAAGGGCTAACAAGAAGCAGGTTTAATGTATAGGTCACCATGCTTCAGTACTACAAATAGTCCAAATCAAGCACACTTTCCTGAAATTAGGAAAACTTTGAAACCAAATATTCAGAGGGAAACTATGCACATGAGAAAACTTACCACAACACATCAAAATGTATTCTAGAAAAATTACTAAATTTTAAACACACACACTATAGGTATTTGGGTCCAAAAATATTACTTACAAGGAAAGAAAATCAAATTATCAGACTTTTTGACAGCTACATTTTATACCAAAATAAAAAGGAGTGACATATTTAAGATATTCAAAGGAAGAAAATGTGAGTCAATGATTTTAGGTCCAGCCAAACTGACTTCCAAGTATTAAAAACTAGAGACAGGGGCCTCCTTGGTGCACAAGGGGTTAAGCACCGCACTATGAAGAAATCCACAGCCTTTGCAGCACGAGCTCAGTCCCTAGCCGGCCAGAGAGCTACCCACATGGCAAAGCAGACCTCTTCTGTCTCTCCCGCTGCTCCCCTCAGCAGGGTATTTCAGTC